TCACCAGTAGCCTAACCTCTAAAATCTCTAAAATCCTCCAAAGCTCTCTGAAACTTCAACAGTAATTAAAAAATGTAATTTAAAAAAAAAATCCTTAGTCTATTATAATCTCGCATGTACAAAATACCAATCCAAAGCTGATCACACGTTGTACAGCGTGAACCCTAACAACAGACCGACCCACAGGTTCACGAGTACCCTAACCTCTAAAACCTAACAGAAACGCATGGATCCAGCATTCTCAATGCCCTTTGCATTCGACTGGCATTATCCGGGAGCATGCTCTTTGAGTCGTTCCCCTCCCGTATCATTCCCAGGGGATTGTACAAAGGCCTGTTTCAGCGGTCGTACGATTCTTGCGCACGATTATTAGCGACGAACGGCCGGGGGTAAATTGGCACGGTACTTTGTATCGCGACTTAATACGATATACACGTACAAGCAGACAGGCTGGCAGTTTCTGAAGTTGAATTGCACGTCGGTAGGGAGAGGTTGGGCAACGTCGTGCCGGGAACCACGCGAAACGATGCATTGCTTCTGACGACCATTGCCGAAGAACGCACCCAACACGGTGGAAAACACGATTTACAGTGGCGTCAGGCTTGCTTTTTACAATTTTACAATTTTTCCACGCCACAGCGTGCACGTGCACGCGTTTACAAAATTGTACAAAATAGTGCAAGCCTTTCGATTGATGTTATTGTACAGGGTGATCCACAAATTCGGATCGGGTTGTACGACACGACGAGCAAAACAGCTAAAGTAACTCAACATTCGCCTCTCGGTTTTCTCTTTTCAGAGGAGCAATAGAGAGTGTTGCAAGCGACAATTTTCCCCCCCGATAAACATACGTTTGATTTTCGCTTCGTTTTGCTGGTAATGAAGGTTTAGGAGACGCGAGAGTTAAGCGCCTGGCGTTGTGCAACCCGTCGTGCATCGCCCATTTCCGCGGGAACTTTAAAACGTTGTATTGCGTTTTTTCTTTTTTTTTTTTTTTGGTAATAAAAAATATAAACTATGCATCAGTATTAGAGATTCATTTGTTAGTTCTCTTTCAAGAATCACGTTCGTACGTGATCTGTGTTATTATCGTAATAAGTACGTATTTATGGATACTTTGAAAACTCGTTTCTTTGAAAAGGTTTCAAGAGAAAATAGAACAACAGACCGTTACAAATTAGTTAGTTTTGCAACATTTTATAAATAACGTTTCGTTTTCGATTCTTCGTAATTAAGCGCCTGATGTCGAGCAATCCAACTTATGCCACTAGTTTTGGCGGGCTTTTCAAAACTTTCAAGTAACAAATTGTAACTTTTCTAACGGATAAAATAATTTTCATCAAACAGATTGTCCATCTATTAATTATCGATTAATTTCGTGGAAAAATAATTAATATTCATTGCATAGATTGTTCATAGTGCACCGTTAGCGTGAGTGGTTAGTTCTACAACTAAGAAAATGAGGAAGTTGTGCCCCGATGCTGCAGCTTATCGTGGTAAATTTTAACTCGTCGCGCTCGACACGAAACATTGCTCGAAATCATGCATAATAATGCGTAATAACACGATGATCCGATGGGACTGAAAGTCAAATTAATGGAAATCCCGGTGGGACCTGCATTACCGGTAGAGAAAAAGCTCGAAAGTAATTTGCGTTAAAGAAAAAAAAGAAAGAAAAACGTACGTAATTAACAGGTGGAAATGAAATTTTTCGATGTTTCGAGCACGATAAAACTGGTTATATAAAACTGCCTGTAAATCGCATGAAAAAGAAAGGGAAAAAAGATTCGCTAGAAGACGTTTCTAAGATCGATTTTCGAGCTTGGTATGCACTTCATTAGAGATAATGAATCAACCGGTAATGGAGTCAGTCCTAGTTTCGACATTCCTTTTTCCACAACAACTTTCCAATCTTCTTCGCGAGACTGCTCAGAAAATGATACATTGCTCGAAAGATTGTTTCCTTATTGTTTCGAAGATCTTTAGAATTTTATTACAACGATGAACGAGCCTTGTTTCTGTTTCTAGGTTATGCTTCGATTTATGTGTTTTTTTTTTTTTTCTTTATCGTTGCATGCTTTACCATGATGACGGACGAATCGTTCGAACATGCTTTTCCTTCAATTTCTTTAATTCAGGATTAACTTTGTTCCAAAGATATCGGTCTCAATTGTATAGGTTAGGTTCGAAGTAGATTTTGATTGAGCTTAGGTTAGGCTAAAGGCTAAATTTAGACTAGGGATTTAGGCTTGGGCAATGTGCTTGGATTAGGCTTAGAGCTACGTTCTGATTAGATTTTGGTTAGGCTCGGGCTATGTTCTAATTATGTTATTAAGTTACGGCAGCGCTCGATTCTCGTTAGATTTAGGTTACGTTTCCCATGTTACTTTTTTGACCGTAAATTGTTTTGTCTGCGATCAAAATTTAATTAAATTCAGAAGCTAATTCAAATCAGACACTAATTTTACATTTGAATTCTCGAACATTTGTGAAAAAAAAAAAAAATAAGAAAAAAAGAAAAAGGAAGTGATCAAATAATGATCGACAGAGTCTACAGAGCTAAAATCACGATCGAAGCCTCCACTTTAAGCCTAACCTAGCCATCAATTCAGATTCATATTAACCACTTAGTCCAACAACCGAACGTTGTATAAGAAGTTGATTAACTTTCGAAAGTAGCGAGAATGGGACACCGTTTCGCGAGCAACGGATTACGCCAGCCTGTATAGTTAATCGCTCGACGCGAATAGAAGACACG